TAATACTTTTAAACATAGTGCTGGAGATAGGTTTTTCATGTATAATGTATTTTTAAATCCCTAGACATCATGGGTTCAACCGACATATCATTAGATTGGTCCTCTTCTCTTGTCCAATAAAGCATAAACCTTTACATACAGCTTTTTTTAATATAAAAATGAATAAAACCGATATAAGTCGAAGAAAAGCAGCAACAAGATTGAATGTCAAAGAAAAAAATGGTAATTAAAACGAATGATATTCGTAATAGTGAATTAAGAGAGAAACACTACTAAGTAAAAGAAAGAAATAAATGAATGAAGAAAGAAAGAATTAATGAAAGACGGAACGAAAGATTCAAAGAAATAAGGTAAGATCTAAAGAATTAGAAAAATTCGTTATTTTAATACAAGAAAGAAAAATGAAAGAAAGAAAAATCAAATAGAATGAAAGAAAGAAATGCTGAAAGGAAAAAATGAAAGAATTTCTACTTAAACAAAGTAAAAAAGGGAAGAATGAATGAATTAATGAATGCAAAAAAGGAGGGAATAACAAAAAAAAGATTGAAAAAATTAAAAAAAAGGAAGACATATTGAATGAAAGAAAAAAAAGGAAGACATATTGAATGAAAGAATAAAATAGGGTAAGATACAGTCCGTGAATGAATGAATGAATGAAAGACAAAAGTAGAGAATGACAAAAAGAAAGATTGAAAGAAAGAAAGAATGAAAAATAAATGAACGAAAAAAAAGAAAAAGGAAAATAAGAAATACTACTGAATCAAAGAAAGAAAGAGGAAAAGAAAGAGTCCGTGAATGAATGAATGAATGAATGAATGATAAAATGAGATAATGACAAAAAGAAAGATTGAAAAAAATCAAGGAAAAAAGGGAAAAAGAAATGAAAGAAAAAAAAAAGAAAGAAGTAAGAAATACTACTGTACCAAAAAAAGAAAAAAAGGAAAGAAAGCGTGTATGAATGAATGAATGAAAAACGAACAAATGAAAAATTAAAGATAAAAATGAGTGAAATACTACTACATCAAAGAAAGAAAAATGAAGGTGAGAATGACTGAAAGAAAAATAAATGAATGATAAATGAAGGACTCAAATAATGAATAAAAAAGGAAGTAAAATCAACGCAAAAATGAAGGAAATAAAGCTTCAAAGAAATGAAAGAAAAACAAAGAAGGAAAGAAAAAATGAAAGACAAAAGAAAGAAAGAAAAACATATGAAAGAAAGAATGGAAGAAAAAAGAAAGAAAAAATGAGAAAAAAGTATGGAATAAAAAGAAAGAAAAACTTATGAATGAAAGAAACTATAAGAATGAAAGAAAGAAAATAGAAAGAAAGAAAATTTAAAAAAGAAAGAAAGAATAAAAGAAAGAAAAAAGAAAGAAAAGCATAAGAAAGAAGAATGAAAGAAAGAAAGAAACTATAAGAAAAAAGAATGAAAGAAAATAGAAAGAAAGTAAACATAAGAAAGAAAGAAAGAAAGAAAGAAAGAAAGAAAGAAAAAGAACGAATGAAAGAAAAAAGAAAGAAAAACATAAGAAAGAAAGAAAGAAAAAAGAAAGAAAAACGTAAGAAAGAATGAATGAAAGAAAAAAGAAAGAAAAACGTAAGAAAGAATGAATGAAAGAAAAAAGAAAGAAAAACATAAGAAAGAAAGAAAAAAGAAAGAAAAACATAAGACAGAAAGAAAGAAAAAAGAAAGAAAAACATATGAAAGAAAGAAAGAAAAAAGAAAGAAAAACATATGAAAGAAAGAAAGAAAAAAAAAAAAAAACATTTGAAAGAATGAATGAAAGAAAAAGAAAGAAAACATAAGAAAGAAAGAATGAAAGAAAAGAAACTATAAGAAAAAAAAAAGAATGAAAGAAAAAGAAAGAAAGTAAAACATAAAAAAAAGAAAGAAAGAAAGAAAGAAAGAAAGAAAAAGAACAAATGAAAGAAAAAAGAAAGAAAAACATAAGAAAGAAAGAAAGAAAAAAGAAAGAAAAACGTAAGAAAGAATGAATGAAAGAAAAAAGAAAGAAAAACGTAAGAAAGAATGAATGAAAGAAAAAAGAAAGAAAAACATAAGAAAGAAAGAAAAAAGAAAGAAAAACATAAGACAGAAAGAAAGAAAAAAGAAAGAAAAACATATGAAAGAAAGAAAGAAAAAAGAAAGAAAAACATATGAAAGAAAGAAAGAAAAAAGAAAGAAAAACATATGAAAGAATGAATGAAAGAAAAAAGAAAGAAAACATAAGAAAGAAAGAATGAAAGAAAGAAACTATAAGAAAAAAGAATGAAAGAAAATAGAAAGAAAGTAAACATAAAAAAGAAAGAAAGAAAGAAAGAAAGAACGAAAGAAAGAAAGAAAGATAAAGAACGAATGAAAGAAAAAAGAAAGAAAAACATAAGAAAGAAAGAAAGAAAAAAGAAAGAAAAACGTAAGAAAGAATGAATGAAAGAAAAAAGAAAGAAAAACATATGAAAGAATGAATGAAAGAAAAAAGAAAGAAAACATAAGAAAGAATGAAAGAAAGAAAGAAAGAAAAGAACGAATGAAAGAAAAAAGAAAGAAAAACATAAGAAAGAATGAAAGAAAAAAGAAAGAAAACATAAGAAAGAAAGAATGAAAGAAAGAAAGAAACTATAAGAAAAAAGAATGAAAGAAAATAGAAAGAAAGTAAACATAAGAAAGAAAGAAAAAAGAAAGAAAATATAAGAAAGATAGAAAGAAAGAAAGAATGAAAGAAAAAAGAAACAAAAACCTAAGAAAGAAATAAAGAAAGAAAGAAAGAAAGAAAAAAAAAAGAAAGAATAAAAGGAAAGAAAGAAAGAAGGATAACAATGCTAAAGCAACCCGAGCGGAAGAGAGATCGGGAAAATCTCAAGAAAAGACAGAAACCAGAAATAACAAAACAAATAATTTGTTATTAATTTTCAAACTAAAACCTAATATCCACTCAAGATAGAGGCTTAATTAATGAGATTGTTCTATAGGCATAAGAAAAGCAGGTAAGATGATCAGTTTATTAGGATTTGTAGGAGAGATAACGTTTAACCCTAAACTGGAAGCGGTTAACAGAATAGTGTTGTAGATACATCCTCTTGAGACTGTGTTCCGTAAAATTGCGCTGATTGGGAGGAAGCTATCAGAGTGGAACAACTTCTTTACTAATGGTATACTAAGTTAACAAAGAAGATTCTTTCTAGTTTACGTAGCAGGGCGGGTCATGACTGGTTGGACGATGGAATGCTGTTCATTAGAATATGTCCCATGCATATGCAAATAGTAGAGTGAGACTTGAGACGTTCGGTTGCAGGGTGGAAAACAATTCATCAGAATCTTTTGAACTCTATCATGGCTGGAAAATGCTGATTGGGGAGATGTTGTGTCGGAAACCTACCACCCCTCTTGAAGATGAACTTGTCTACAAACTAAGACGTTAAATAGTGGCATGTCAAAAGACAGACAGAGTCGGAGAAGTTCTTGGCTGAGTTAGTTATAGACTACTCAGGCGATTGCTGTACCTACTTACCAACCGAATAAACCCCCTTTTATTGTTACATGTTATTTGGCGTTTGTCTTTATTAACCCCAAATCAACATCATAACAGGAGATATGGAAGCAGTATTTAGTTTTTTTTTTTTGTTTTTTTTTTTTGTTAGCCATGTATTTAAAAGGAAAGGCAAGATTCTATAAAATAAATTAAGGAATAATATCAATCAATTGATAAAGTTACGACAATAAGAAGGCCGGGAAAATTCGATAGAATAAAAAAAATACGAAACTGAGATGGTGAAAACAAGAATTAATGGACGTCAAGCAGAAGTAAGGAAATAAATTATAATAAAATAAACAAATAATGAACGAAAAAACAAAAACGATGAATATTCGGGAAGAAAAAAAAAGATATCTACAAAATTACACTGAAATCTACAAATATAAAGAGAGAAAAGAATCTGAAAGAAAATTATTTCAACAAGAGGAAACAAATAAACGCCCAACAATTGGAAAGAAAGTCACAAATAGACAAACAAAGACAGTTATTGAAATCTTTTAATTCAGCAAAATGTCTGAAATCAAAATGTTGAGATGAGAGTTAATGTAATAAATTACTTCGATACCAAATTATGCCGTACAATCGTGAAAGCCAGCACATATTGAATAGCTTGGGTTGCACGGGATAATAAGCACCCCACAAAACAATACGTTCCCACATTCTTTTATATTCATCAGGGAGGAAATGTTCCTTTTGTCAACCTTCCCCGAATTAGTCGTTCGTTGACGTTCCTTCTTGCAATCAGTTCCATTTTCTGGAGTCAGGCGGTGTTCATAATTTTTCTCTTGGCATGATTATTAGTAAGAAAATTTTAGGAAAATTCTGACATCTCACTAGTTGCTGAGACCATTAATAGACATGCAAAACTTTCGGCGTTTTACGGCACATCACCAGATGTCGTTTTGAGAATAAGTTGAAAGTCTGTGTTAGAACAAACATCCAAAGCTGTGGGCGTCTCTGCTTGAGAGTCAGGAAAATTATCATTCAAAATGCTGGCTTTTTTTTTTTTAAATAGACAGAGGCACTGAGAAATTGTAACGTCAATTCTTCCTGAATGTTTTTTGGTTTAACAGAGGGACAGGGAGATAGTAATCTTCTATGAACCATCAATTGTATGGTATCGAAATTTAGTTGTCATTAGCAAAGGTTGCAGATCTCGTTCGCAGCTACAAGAAGTCAACATCAAGAAAGTACAGAAATCTGGAAATTTTCCATTATAGAATCCACATTACAACCAAAAACGTTTATGTCTTCTTTTTAATATACACACATTTCTCTGCTTGCTACCACTATAAACTCTTCCCCTCCACACACACACACACACACACACACATATATATATATATATATATATATATATATATATATATATATATATATATATATATATATATATGACAGTGAATACGGGATAATTTCTGTACAGATAAGGAGTTATCTTGAGACAACGAGTACAGAAGAATACTACGAATACCAGAGAATGAACATATGATTAATGAGGATGCCCTAATGAAAGTGAAAAGTAACCAGACATTTTCATTTTGGATCCTAAAGAGACAGTTGAAATATTTGAATCAGATAATGAGAAGTGGCTATAATAAGAAAAATACTGCTTTCCATAAGATCTGGTTATTGATTGACTGCTTTACGTATTATCACAAATTAAAGGGATATTTAAAGTGATAATAATGAGTTATGTAGATACAAGTCCTACTAATTAAACCCTAGGGAGGAGTTGAATTAATACCTTTCTCATAGGTGTAAGCGAATGCAACGAACTCGACTAGAATTCGAACCCATCTCACCGACTGCACATTTCGAGTCACCATCCATTACACCACCCACACATCCCGACCGTTTATGGCGGAATAGGCTGATATATATATATATATATATATATATATATATATATATATATATATACGTTCATATCATTAGATAGATGGATAGCTAGATAGATAGATATGAAGAGACCGAAATAGATAGATAGATAGATGGATAGATAGAAAGAGAGAAAGAGAATGAGATAGATAAATATGAAGAGACTGAGATAGATAGATAGATAGATAGATAGATAGATAGATAGATAGATAGATAGATTAAATTTTACAAAAAGATTATTGCTGGCATTTTTTTGGTACAAACATTAATTGCTGATATTATCGGTTTTTTTTCTTTGTTTTTTTAATGTATTGTGGATAATAATTTTGTATAATGTATTGCTGGATTTTATTAGAATTATTTTTTTATATTTTCATAGTTTTTTCACTACAGTTTAGGGGTTAACTATTTGCCCATAAATGTGAACCTAACTGCTTTTACTGCCCCTGGCAACAGCAGCAATTCAGAGGTAGTTCCACAAAACCTTCCGATCAGAGGCCTTCCTGCAGGATGGAGTTTAGCATCATACCCAGGACGAGATAGATAGACAGATAAATAGATGGATAAGAACACTGTGATAGATAGATAGATAGATAGATAGATAGATCTGAAGAGACTGAGATAGATAGATAGATAGATAGATAGATAGATAGATAGATAGATAGATGGGAGTTGTTGGAAGATATTACATAGAACCCGTAATAAACCTGACTTGATTTGCTCATAAAATTTATAATATACTCCTACATGGCAGACTATTTCTTGTTCAGGAAAGTTACTATTAACCACTTTCATCTTGAAATTACGTTACCGCTTTGTCAAGTTTATGAGTATATTGTCGAGAAAATCACGTTTTACGAAAGAAGTGATTTTGTTTGAAAATTAAAGAAAAAATAAACGAAAACTCTCTTTTTAAAGATTGCTTTTGACTAAGGTCTCAAGCATTTACCGTCGTGTTATATACTTTTTTTTTTTCATAATCTGGAAGGCGACATTTTCTGAAATGGTTACAAATTTTATTTATTCCCTCATACATAGCTCGAAGGCGTATAAGAATGTTTTTATCACAGAATATAACACGAGGAAAATATCGTATATTGCCTTATGAATGAGAAAGGCGACATTCTTCGATGAATAAACAGTTATATTTATTGTAAATTTATACTTAAGTAGAAATATACTTCAGCAACCACTACTAAAATCGCTGATATATATATATATATATATATATATATATATATATATATATATATATATATATATATGAGTGTATTTGGTCAGCAAACCCTGTTTTATATAAGTTTCATTTAAAACGAATATTGAGGTACTGCAGTGATTTATTTTATTTAATTTTTCTTGTGTTCCTACAATTTCGACATTTCTGGAGGCAAGTTATATAGAAAGTGTCCAAATGTTTTGTATATACGAAAAATTTCGGCTATATTTTTAGCCATTGTTTAGGAGATCGACCCAATTCCATCGGCAACATACTCGCTGATAATACAAATATAATAGACACCTAAAAATGGCTAAAAAATGGCGGCATTATTTATAAAAAAAAGAAGCCAATACTTAATAATAACTACTATGAACACGACCATAATATGCTGACCGTGTTTGTAAAATAAGACATTCCGATAACTATAAATACATACAAAATCAATCGAAAGAGTCAGTTAAAAGTATAAGATAAAATCATCCTTGATAACAGATAAAGTATAGTCAAAAGCCCGAAATCGCCCGTATATACAAAACACTTATACAATATTACAAAATCTATGTTTAGTACAGAAGAAAATTGTAAGAACAGAAAAAAAAAATAAATAATTTAACTGCAATACATTGTTTTGAAAGAAAAATATTTTATATATATAATAATGGACACTCCCGTCGGTTTCGACGTATGAGGATCTGACAGCTTATTGATTCAGTTGTGAAATTTTGTGCGATAATCTTAAGTGTAATTTAAGACCCGCTACTGATTTACAAAGGAGGCCGCATATGGAGCAAGTGTGAGGATTGTGAGATAAGATCACTGTTAGATTGGCTGACCTTTTAGATCTTGCGCTCGCTTCTTGAAGATGATTCAGAGAAGCAGACTGTAAATTACGGAGTCCACTAAAACACATTGATCTCCATTCTATCCGCTCCAAGGCTATGCGCTCAAGTTTGTTATGTGGTATATTGACTGCTGTGTCGACTATATTTATTGTCCTCCAGGACACATGTCAGAGTGGATAAAAGCGTTGGTTAGATCCAGTGAGAGGACCCAAAATGGTCTGAGTTCAATACCCGGTTTAGGCAGTGGAGAACTTTCAGAGTGAAATTAACAGGAGATAACTGATAACTGACATCCATTACTAAACATGTGGAAGTAGAATAGTCTACCCCAATGCGCGAAATAAAGGGTGCAATTCGACATTCCAACCACCTAAAGAAGGCCGAAGCGTACAATGGCAGAAACGTTGGAATAAATATGGCGACAAAAATGAGGACAATAGTCCGAATAATGTAAATGATATATATATATATAAACCCCATTTTTTTTTTCAAAAATTTAAAAATAAATATAAATAATAATAATTTTTACCTATCATAATTTTACACAAACCCCACCACACGTATATACATGCATGCGAGGAAATATTTTTCAGCGGGAAAACACATAATATGACATGTATACAGTACCGAGACATTTCCGCCACACTTCCAATGTTTAAATTTCAACATTTCAACATACAAATGCGTATGTATAGATATAACACCACCCGTATACATACATGTGTCATAGCCGAAACTGCCCACATATGTTTATATATGTATGAGTCCCGACGGACGACCAAGTATGTATATGCGTCTGCATACATCGATGTTTGCGTTAGTACGATGAATGACAAAACGACGAAGTTTCCCCCACCACTTCCACAATAACACCAATACACGCAATCTACATAAACCCAAATTTTTTAAAACATTAATCAGTTTGTCTGACGATCGCTAAAGCGTGAAACCCAGGGTCACAAACTCACATCTATCCAACCAAATATATATATATATATATATAATTGAAATTAAATATAATCGCACAACTCACATATTTTTTATTAGCTGAATGTATTGCCCTTATAAGGGCAATATTAGTTACTAGGCGTCAGTAAATGGTAGAGATTGAGGGAGATTTATAATTCCTCGCAGTTTCACATCTGTGCGCGAAGATTTTGAAGACACAAATACTTTTTGCCAATAATCCCTCAGCATATCGCTACTTGGTAATTCGTTAATTCACAGTCGAGTGAATCCCGCTTGATCTGTTCGCTTCTTTTTTTATTTTTGAACTTCTACATGCCATACAGCACCAACCTGCTAACGTCAGTTGGAAAACGAGTGTAACCTATAGAAGCTCAAACTCATTCAATATGCATGTTTGGAGTTGCATCTTTGTGTGTATATATGTTAATATATTGTGTATGTAAATATATATTAATGTGTATTTGAGAAAAGATTAAAAGTAGAATCCTAATCTGGCCCGGAATTTTATATAGCAATGGATTAAGAGCATTGAAAAAGCAGAGGAGATTCTACTTAAAATGTTTTATCTACGTGAGTGGGATAATAGATTAAGGTGTGAAAATGTCAGTCATAATGCAGTGTTATTTTCGGTATTCAATCGGGTTACATCAACAAACGCATACTTCCGTCCAAAATATATCACGTTTAAGAATAAATGAATGTCACGGAAAATGAACTGAAGCGTAAACACACGGTACATTTTAAAAAATCAACATTATACGCGAAAACACGATATTTGAAGAAAAAACTTGAAGCAGACTAGAATTGAATAAATAAAATCTCTGGTAATAGCTTGTCATAGAGGTAAGTATTCATTCTCCCAAAATCGTATTTAAATTACCAGAGAACTTGCTGAAAATGAAATATCGAAAAAAGCAAATAATTATTAACAAATCCTTCTGTTGGTCTGTAACAAAATGTCAAAATTGAAATGGTTGCGCTCACAGACACAGACACACACACATACATATATATATATATATATATATATATATATATATATATATATAGATAGATAGATAGATAGATAATATTAGTGGTAAATATACACATACATATGCAAAATATATAAATATATATACATACATGCATACACATACATATATATTTTCTGAATAAAATTTTTTAAGTCTGATGAATTAGATCGTATTTACGATTCCAATGGAATAAATTATGACCATGGAATACTAGTGTTTAGTGTTTTATTTATATATATATATATATATATATATATATATATATATATATATATATATACATACATACATTATAATAGGATATTACATTCGAACATATGTAAAACCACTACCTAAAGCATCCCATCAGGCGGCAGTAAAAGACATTTTTATCACCGGCTGGTGAAATGTGATGATATGAATCAAAACATGAATGCATTTATGTAACGGTTTTACAAAGTTTCGAATGTAATATACTATAATAAAAAAAATATTGCTCTACTATTGTATTGAGCAATATTTTTCAATTTCGCCCATATGCTTATTGTTTAATTTTATCCACTGCACATTATAACTTTGTCAGTTGGGCACGATCTGTGAGAAAATGAGCATTACACTGCCGGAAATTAGGAAAAGATACCGTGTAACGCTTGGCATTCGTGCCGAAATCTCCAATAGGAAGGTTTGCAAAAAATTAAGAAAGGATTGGATTGATTCTAATGCTGATCTTTCTGGTAAGAACTTCCAAAATTGTTGGTGAGGGACTCAGATTCAAAACCAAGGCCTACATCAAGTGCTCTATCGAGCTAGTGCTTCTCTGGTACAAGATTGTGACTGCTGGAAGAACCTATGTCTGGGAAAAAGAAACTGCACATTACCACACATGTCATGGCTGTCAAACAATTTCTGCGATCATAACACACCTTACATAATGCCACATAACTACACAAAATGTAACCCCACTTGATTATTATGTGTGGGGCGCAGTTGAATGAGAGACCAAACAAATCTTCTTGTAAAACCAAAGATGATCCAAAGGCAAGGATTATGGTAGTATTCATCAACTTAAACAAGGAGACCGTCCAGATGAGATACAGGAGATTCCGAAGTCGTCTGGAAGGCGTGGTTAAATCCAGTGGCGATATAATTGAATAAACTTACTCTTTACTACGTCAAGATATTTTCGTGCACTTTCATATATATATATATATATATATATATATATATATATATATATATATATATATATATATCAGTTAAAATCAGATGCCTGTGTTATTTCAAGGTTTGCTTAGTTTAGAAGACAAGTTAGCCATCGCAACCTGACCTTCCCAGAACTCTATAGAACTGTCCTATTAGTAGTAGAGAGATCAGTCCATTCTGATAAGAAGGTGGGTGGCACCAACAAAATGGAGTAGATTTACTTTACTATTACAGTGTTTGTAATTTATATATGCCCTGCATCAATAAATAAATTGAGCTCTGTTTGTGGATCAATTTTAATATTTTATATTATTATGCACTTGGATTATATACCAACAGTTGTTTACTCACATATATATATATATATATAGATAGATAGATAGATAGATAGATAGGTAGATAGGTATACCATTGTGTGCAGGGAAAAATTTTGTATATAATTAAATCTTTGAAGTTGATCCAGTCACAATGACTCCAGGAAATATTTTACCCGGGAGGAAAAGAAACATTTTATGACTTCAAAACGAATAATATCAATAATGAATTGCAATTTCATGAGAGTTTTGT